CAAAGAATGAGCCATTCTTTAAGCGTTTCTTAATACCCACCGATTTATTTTAAGTGCCTGCTGCATAATGGGATTTTTATGTTTATATCGGTGAGTGTGTGTGTGTGTGTGTATGTATCTTTGTATTGAAGTGAGTATGTCTTTTAGGGTTATGTTTCTTTGAAGGACCATTTTAATTCGTCAATAAAATATTATTTCCCAATAACAATATCAGATTACATTTCAAAATCATTGGAAATTAATGTCATTGCCTGAAAATGATTTTTGTTTTATTAGAAGTACTGTATAAATTATTTTAAAATTTTCAAGAATGTAATAACAAAAACAGATTTTTTAAAAAAACTTGCCTCCAACCGAAACTTGTTTATAAAAAGCAAATGTTGTTTTGAGCAAAACAGCTGTGTAAACAGCAATTTCTCTTGACACAAATCTTAAGCCATAGCCACTTAAATTTGAATTTTAAAGAATTTGAGGCTGTACATAGCATTGAAAAAAAAAACGAGTACTGAGAAAAAAATTCTAAAAAATAACCGTGTTTAAACCCTTTTTTTAATAATTTGTGGCTTACATACATACTGTGTTCCACATATTCTGAAACAGTTTTCATTGTCTGACTAAACTAACCGTGATGCGGCAATGTTCTCAAAAAATTTATTGTTAAGCAGTACTTTTCAAATAGATAGAGTAACAAGATTTTTATTTCTCTGTTTTCCATTTTGATCAGTTATTTGACATTTTGGTTGAAGTCTTTCTATTATTTTCATTTTTTGCCAATTCATTGAGCGAAGCACAACAATATTTTTAAAAAATGGTAGATGAAAATGTCGTACAAAATATTAACGAGTAACAAAATCAAAACAGTCTCATATACGAAGATCGGTCTAAAAACGTTATTTGTTATAGAAACCCAATTTTGAAATAAGTAGGAAGTATGGATTTGATAGCAATGAAGAAAATTATATTTAGTAGCTAATGATCGACAATAGAAAAAGTAACAGAGTAATTATGTACTTAGTCCAGCACAAAAAAAAAATACAGTACCAGCAAAACAACAAAATTTTTTAATTCTAGTCACCGAAAATCGATGCTGGCTTCACCTGTACAATTAAATGTAATTCAAAGATTTTCATTCTGGCTAGAAATCGAATAATAGTATGTCAAGTGGATATTTACGAAGTGATAAGCAACTTCATTAGTCCTCAATTATGTAATACAGCAATGTCGGTTAATCTACATTATTCATAGCTGCATTTTTTTAATTTTTGTTGCAAAACACAAAATCAAAATATGTTCTAATTAACTTTTTATAGCTACATTTTAGGCATTGCTAAATCAAAATCTGGAGCAATATATCTTGAAAAAAGAAAAACGCTTTTCCAACATTAAAAGACATATGTAAGACCAATTTCAGACTGCTATCATTTCTAAGCCACTCGTCCAACAGCAGTTAAAATTATTCCAGTGACAGCTCATTATGTTGTTTACAAGCTCATTTTGGTGAGAATTTTCCAGAAAAATAGTTATTCGTGATGGAATTCAAGTGTGATAGTGTGATTTCTTTATATTTTTCTGGAAAACCACAAGTGGCTATCGTTAGAGCACTCCAGCATTTAAATGTGAACAAATCTTTTGTGTCTAGTAACATCGCTCGTTACCGTGATGCTGGTAGCGTAGCCCGACCTCAAGGAAGTGGACGGAAGAAAACAGCAACATCAGCAGAAATGGTTCGAAAAGTAAAGAAGCGACTTGATCGAAACCCCCGTCGCAGTGGCCGAAAAATTGCTCGTGAGGTGAACATATTCGGCAAATATTAAACAAGTAAAAAAGCAGTAAGTTCGGCCGGGCCGAACTTTGAATACCCTCCACCATTTGGAACGGATTAGAGAACTTTCAAAAAATAAAATCCATTAAAAATTCTTTTAAAATCTTTAAAATATCTAATATAGGAAGGCGCCGATATATGGGGGATATACGATATTGTGGACCTATAAAGACAAATCTATGTCTGGGTGTAAAGTACTCACAAGGAACTCCTTGTGTGGACTTTCAGATAATTGTATTGAAAAAGTGGCTAAAGTCATAAAAATACCGAATATAGGGGGTACCGTTTTATGGGGGATATACGATATTGTGGACCTATATAGACAATTGCGTTTCAGGGGGTAAAGTGCTCACAAAGAACTCCGTGTGTGGATTTTCAGACAGTACTACTGGAAAAAGGGGCTAAAAACATCAAAATACCGAATATCGGGGGGTACCGTTATATGGGGGCTATACGATATTGTGGATCTATATCGATAATTCTCTGCCGAGGTTAAAGTACACACAAGGAACTATTTGTGTGGATTTTCAGACAATTTCATTGAAAAATGCGTCTAACATCGTCAAAATAACGAATATCGGGGGTACCTTTATATGGGGGCTATACGATATCGTGGACCAATATAGCCCATCTTCGAACTTGACCTGCCTACAAAAGAGAGATCTGTGCAAAATTTTTGCTTCCTATCTTAATTCGTTTAGACTGTAGCGTGATTACAACAGACGGACCGACGGACGGACAAACGGACAGGGCTAAACCGTCTTAGAATTTTACGCTGATCAAGAATATATATACGTTGTTGGGTCTAAAATGATTATTTCGATGAGTTACAAACGGAATGACGAACATAATATACCCTCCATACTATGTATGCTGCAGGGTATAAAAATGAGCTCGGTGTAAAGCCTTTGAAATGCCAAAAAGTGCAAGAACTTACACAGCAACAAAATAGACTCAATAGAGCTAAAGAGTTGCTTCGCTTTGCCGAAAGTGGTGAACTGCCGAATTTGGTTTTCTCCGATGAGAAAACATTCGTTGTCCAGTAGTTTGTAAACAAACAAAATGATCGTGTTTACTTGCCAAAGAGTTCAGCTAAAAATGTGCATCTTCGGTTGGCCACCAGAACTGAAGCGCCGGCCATGGTGATGGTGTGGGCCGCCATAACAGTCGATGGTCGTTCTCCGCTCGTATTAATCGACCGTGGCATCAGAATAAATGCCGAATATTATCGCGAAAATAATCTGGAGGGTGTATAAAGGCCTTGGTCACGCAAACATTTTGCCGCAGACCTTGGACATTTCAACAGGACTCAGCACCATCGTACTCAACTCGCGCCACTCAAGAATGGTTACAAAATGAGGTTCCTCGCTTCATTTCCAGCGCACAATGGCCACCAAAATCACCGGATACCAATCCTATTGTGTCTGGAGTATTTTGGAAAGCAAGGTTGGCACTAAAAAATACCAAAGTATCGATCACCTCAATCAAGCGTTTCGCTGGGCAGCGTGCGACAGTTTCATTGGCCGTTTGAAGACCATATTTCGTGCCAAAGGTGACCAATGCGAACAAACCTAAACCTATTCTAAAATTTGATGCTATTTCCGACATTTTTTGTTTTCATTCAATAAAATTAAAAAAAATGTAAAAATATGGCGTTAGATTTTGTTGTAGTTTTTTATCTCACCCAGTATAGACCATTTTCAATACCAAAAGTCTGGCAGACATAAAACTCAACCTACTTTACTTTGTTCGGAAGCTAGAGTGATTTCCACAGACGGACGGACAACACTAAATCCACATAAAATAATAATAAATAATTAAGTATTTTTATGACAGTTTTATATAACTACTTTTGAGTAAATGGAAATAAAAAATCGAATTGGAAGTTGCAAAGTTTCCATGATAAATTAATATAACCGAATTGGAAATAAAATTATCTGATTTGAAAACATCACTTTTAAAATTAATATTAGAAACAGAATAGTTGGATTTTCATTAGGGGTTCTCCAATGTGATTTCTAATGAATATGTATTTTATGATGAAGTAAAATACATATAGAATAAATTAAATATAATTAATAACAGTCATGATATATATTTTTGATGAGGTGGAGTTACATATTTTGAGCTGTAACGAAATTTGGATACACCCAAAAAGCGCATTTGTACTTGAATTTCAAGTGAAATTTTATTTGAGGAACATTCTTTTAATATCGGCTATTCTAAGTTAAACCATTTGTAATTTCAATATAGCCAATTAATTTCCACGACTAGCTTGGTTATTCCCATTGAAATGGATGTTAAAGAATATGGTACGTTTCAAAACTAAGGAATCTAATTTTAATTATTAAGACGAAACGTTTAACTGTAAAATAGGATTGTGAGAACTTTATAAAACACTTTTTCCACTTTCTGTCAAAATACATTTTAAAACATTGGCTAACTCGCCATTAATTGGCAAAAGGAAACAAAAATGAATATTCATAAATCGCCTTAACCATTTTCCCTTAACATCTAGCCGTTCATAAAAGTTTATTATAAATATTTAACTAATTCCAGTTTCCAATTAAATTAATGAATAAATCAACATCTCTCGGCTTCCAGACAGGGTCCCCAATCAACATGTGAGATCGTTCGGAGATGGTGGGCGTTTTATTTATAAACCCATCGAACAAAAATTAGATAAACCAACTGTGTGTTTGTTGTCTTTTAATAATTTGATTGCAGGGGGCATTTTGGTTTCGGTGTCACCCCACAGCAATCGGCTGACCACTTTCCCTTCACACACTCTCGGACGATGTTTGTCAAAACATCGAACCACAGTTGGAATCAAAAAAAAAAAAAAAATAGAAACTCTTCAACTTCACTTTTGCGCTCAGCCTGTGGTTGGCTGCATTCATTTCATTTGCCCACTGCCGAAGTGATAATAATTTGTTTAAATTTTTTCTTTTGTCGCTTCACGTACAATTGCCAAGCGCTAATAGATTTATTTGAGTTTTACGACATGCTAAATACTTTGTTTGAATGTAAACTAACTGTTTTTTTTTTTCTTCGGTGGACTGGGTGTTGGTTTTTGGTATTGGGCTGGCGTTAATTAGACCGAAGTTGTGTTTGTTGTAGTTCCTACCACTCCAACTACAACTACTTAATAGACAATTGTGACAACTCGTCGTCTTACCTTGTGGGGCGTATCACCAAAGAGTATCCAAAATACGAGCTGCGTACTTGCGGCTGGAAAAATTTCAATTGCGGCGCACCAATAACCACCTGGGGCTTGGGAGCAAAGTTAAAGGCATGCACCGAGGTTAATAAACTGCCAAAAAGGCAGCTCAACAGTAGACACAGCACTGGACTGATTTGGGAAGACATTTTCGTTGTGGGGTTATTGATTGATAAGTGACACACAAACAAATCAATGGGTTTCTTTTCTTTATTTGTCTTCTTTTTCTTCTCCTTCTTTAACTCTTATTTCTCTTGGTTTCTTATTTTGATAAAGAACTTGTAATCAATGCACTTTCGTATAAAGGGCTAGCCAATCAATCTTCAACTTTGGATTTATTTACTTTAGATTTTATTTCTGTCACTTCTTATCCGTCGTTCACTTAACTGCACTGCTCGCCACTTCTTGGTCTGCAGCCACTGATCTATGCTCTTGATTGGACTTTAGAACTTTTCAATTTAGACATGTTTGCCTCTTTACGTTTTTCCATTCAATATTTATCACAATTTTCGCTGGATTTCTTGTTGTTGTTATTGTTGTCGTTGGAATGATAATTTTCCTTTCGTTTCGAAGCACTACATTGCACTGGATACACACACATGCACAGACGCGTAAATATGTATGTACGTATGTTTTATTAAATAAAATATATTTAGTTAATATCGCGTATTTCTTTTTTTGAATTGGATGGATGGATTTATTGGTGTACGGATGATATGCAGAAGATTCGTCGTTGGCTTGTTCGTTATATATTTTTTTGTTTTCGTTTCTTAAACTCGCATCGGATGAGGATTATTATTTTCTCGTTTTCATAATTTAGTTGGATTTATTTAATAATTTCGATGCTGTCGTTTCTTTGTGTATTTGTTTTCACACGCAGTAAAACACTGCTACTACTGTTGCTGCTGCTGCTGCCGATTTCAATTCGGTGCGTTAATATTCATTCCTCTATCTTTCGGATGCTTTTTTCCACTTCACTCCACTCTGTGTGATTGCGTGTGTATGTATTTTTCGCTTTTGTTGTTGTTTATCTGTATCTGGGGTTCTTTTTTTTTTTTGCTTGTGCCTTATTCTAAAGTAGTTGTCGTCGTCGTCCGTTGTTCTTTGTCGTATTCACGCGCGTTTATCCGCCCGTTCTCAGACACACTGCTACTTGCTTCACCGGCAACCGAAATCAAAATAAACACCATTCGCTCTGCTCGCAGACGGAAAAGGCCCTAAGCTCCGCTTATTTTGCTTGTTTGCCGTTGTCGCGTTGCCGCTACATGGCACTGTGCCAGTGTGTTGGTGGGTGTGCCTGGATGGATGGATGGCTGGCTGTCGGACTGACTGCATTTGTGGATGGTTGTTTGGTGTCCGCTGTTGCTCTATAATGCTGCTGCTGCTGCTGCCGTGGCTGTCTGCGTTTTATGCACAACGCAGCGATAGTTTATTGAGCACCAGCCGTTAACGTCGTGATTGTATTGGCCTGAGCATATGGGCTATTCTATAGCAAGAGTTCATTCACAGCAATGGGAGATGGACGGACAGACGGATGGGCATGTCGTCTGTTTGAATAATTTGCTTCAGGGAGGGTATTTCTTTGTCATATTTGAGGGAAATCGATGTTGTCTCAATCGAAGGAGCAAAACCTATTGAACACATTTTGAGAGGAAAAATAAATGCCTTTCAACAAATGGGGTTGAAAGTGTAAAAATATAAAATGTTGAATGCAATTTGGATCACGGTGCTGTATTTCACAAAATAAGAAAAGAATGACATTAATCTGCCTGTCAATTGCGGAGAAATCGTGGACGAGGTTTGCAATTAAATACCAAAGATATTTGAATTTCTTCTGGAGATAACAAGATTTTCCCATGCGAAGGGACCAACATATCAAAATGTCCATAAATCACGCCAGACAGAGATCAAACTTTTCACGCCGTTAAATGGATAACCACAATTTACACCTCTTTGGGGTTCCATGTGGTATGTTTTTAAACTATTTGCTACGTTACCATAACATTCACCGTAGTTAGCGTGGAGGGTATATTTATTTTTTCATTCCGTATGTAACTCATCGAAATGATCACTTAAAACCCTACACAGTATAAATATTGTTGATCAATGTAAAATTCTATGACGAGTTTAACATGGCCGTCTGTTGTTATCACTCTAAGCTTCGAAGGGTTAAACTTAGACGGTAAAAATACTTTAAATGTATATTTACAATTACATTAAATTCAATTTACTCTTATTTAAAATTCTATTTAATCTTTGATAAAGGAAGCAGACCTTCAAAATGTTTACATTAAATTGGCGAGTAAAATAGTGCTTCTGGGCAAGTAATCGGTATATTAAATTTGTCATTCCGTTTATATTCATGATTAGCATAAAATTCTAATTCGATTTAACGATGTCCGTCTGTCTGTTGAAATCACGATACAGCCCACTTTATTTATACATACATATTTTTATTTATATTATTAAAAATTTGGCACAGTACTTTGTATTATGTCTAGAATGGTTGGTATTAAAAATTAGATATATCGGTCCACGGTTTGGGATAGCCCCATATAACTGTAGCTCCCGATATTCAGTATTTTGACGGATTTAGCTAAATTTTTCCACCAATTTGTCTAAAAATTGATATTTGTAGTTCGTTATGGATTCAAGCTCCGGTGGCGGAACATTGTATATATAGGCCCACTTTTTCATACAGCGCATATATAACGGTTCCTTCGGATATTCGGAGGTTGATGTTTTAAGCATATTTTCTAACAGGTTTGTGTGGAAGTTGGTATTTGTACTTTATAATTGGTTTTACAACCGGTTCAAAAACGTTGTCCATATTGGCCAACGGTTTCAATACAACTGTTCGGTATTTGATATATAGACCCATAATCGACATTTTAATAATCATAATCACATTTGCCCACGCAATTACGTCAAATTCGGTATTTTAAACTCGCAATATATTACAATCTTTGTAGTATAAAATTGTCTATATGGGCTCCCGGTTTCGTATGGCCGTATATATATATTTTTTTTTTTTTTTTTTTTGAAAAGCCTAACTACTTTCTCCTACCGATATTATTGAAGTTTGTAGTTTAAAGTGAAACACGTTTGAATCCAGATACTTTTGTATTAAAATGTTTTCTTTACCTATTAGTGGATCGTTCGACCTGGCCGAATCTAATTTTTTTTTGCTGTTGATTACTTACTTGACGCCGGCAATCGCTCGCTATTGCTGGAGGAGCCTCGCTGACAATATATAAATTTCAATGGAATAAATCATCTTTAACGAAAATTAAAAAAGATAGCTGACAACATATTGGAAGCAATATTAGTTTATTTTGATAATTTAAGCGACACTTTTCAATTGTTGATAGGCTAGATGATAGAAAACTAACCACACAGAACAATATTTTTCCTACATCACCTATATATGTCTTATTTTTATTATATTCACGTTTTGGTATAGTCTCTATATGTAACTGTACCACTCACTTTATGGTACTTCGAAGTCTCGTTTTAATACTGAATGCCATCCGATTTTAATTTTAAATATTTTATTTAGCTCGTGGCGTTTATTTGGCTAAGGATATGTAATATAATAGAATATTTTTGAAAATAAACTACCTTGTTAAATATATTACTCACCTCAAATGATAATTTGACACAAGCTAAGAGTCATTTGAAGTGCGTAATACACTCACTTTGCTGTGTTTTTCTTTCTTGTCCGAAATAAAAGTCCTGCAAAGGGTATTCTTTGCCGAAAAAGTGTAAAGAATTGTATTCATATTGCTTTATGATGGTTTAACGACCGTAACCCAGCTTTACTTGACGTAATATTAGTGGCACATCTTTTTCCGTGGAAGTTTTTTTTTTTGGCAATTACTCTTGGTAAATTCAAAAATAAATAAAACTTAAAGTTCAAACAGCAAAAATACTAAAACATACAATAGTAAATAATTAGCACATGAAAATGTAGAGATGATATTGATATTTGAAATTACCACATTTTTATTTGCGTTGCTTTGTTTTTGCAAATTATCGACTGAAAGTCCATTATTAATTTTAATTGTTGTTAACGTATTTTCCTTAATCGAACATTTAAATAGCACATTGACAAAAATAGGAGCTCACATTAAAAACTTTGTTGATTTCAAAAAATTTAGTTAAATATTCAAACTAAATATTTAAATTTAATTGCGCAAGCAAAAAAGAAGCTATATTCAGGGTCGGGCAGAACTTGAAGGAATTTAAAAAATGTAAAAAACTTCCAGTGAAAAATTCCTCTCAAATAAAACGTGATCCATTTTATGGGCTGTAGTATCTGTTTCGAACTTCAAATACGAAATTTGAAACCATTCCAGTGAATAATTTCGCCAATATCATCACAATACGGAATAGACAGAGGTACGTTATATGTGGCCTATACGAAGACGTGGACCTGCATCGGCGATTTTTTGTTATAGGCTGTAGTACCCATTACGAACTAACCCTGCCTACTGACAAAATACACACGTGTGCCTTTTGCAATTCTATCGCAATTCATTGGAAAAAATAGCGTAATTACAGCAGACAGACGAGAAATATACAGACAGACAGACGGACATCGCTAATCGAATTTTACGCTGATCAAGAATATATACACTTCTTTGGGACTGACATAAGTATTTCGAGAAGTTACAAACGGAATGACAAAGTCAATATACCCTCCTAACTATGGTCGAGGGTATAAAAAATACTTTTGAGTCGTCGTTTTTTTAAACTAAATTTAAATTAACACTGCATACATTAGAATATGCGCTTTCTTCCAAATGGGGTAATTAAATGTCCGAATTTTGAGTTAATAATTCTACACAAGTCAAGATCCAAAGTATTTTGAAAAAATCCTTTCCAAACATATTTTATTTAAAAAAAAACCCCTTTCAAATGTAAACATTTCTTTTATTTCAATTAATGCAACTGGAGTGTCTTAAAGTAAGATCAAACCCTTATTAGGGTTATTAAAGAAATGCATTAATTAAAAAACTTGATTAAGTGTGAAACGATATTTTAACCACCATAAATTTGGGATTGCCCATATAAAGATGAGATAGTAGATTACACATTTTATGTTGTGGGAATATGACGAACGCGATACTGTAAATTAAAAAAATAAAAAATTCTATAGTATTTAATTTAAAATAATTTAATTATCAATGACATTTATCAACCATCATAGAAATTGAAAAAAAAACAAGGGATATAGTTGACATGTTTCTTAAGATAGCTCTAAAAGTTTTGAGAATAGAGAATATATGTGTGAAAGATGGCTACTTTATAAATATACTAATTGAAAGTGAAGAAGTGTCTGGTTCTGTTGCAGAATGATCTTAGGCGAGAGACGTTTCTCAGGCGATATGGTCTCATACAGCGGCGTTCTCAGAAAAAAAAATAGATAAAAAACAAAAAGTAGTAACCATTTCGTATGTTATATATACGAAATATAAAACTAATAAAACAAAACAAGCGAACAAAATTAATAAAAAAAACATAGTTATTGCTTAGTTCTATATTCTTTGAATAGGAAATGACCTGCATCATCAATTATTTTTCCACCATTGTTTATATTAATAAGACTTTCTTTGCAGATTTTCTTAATAGAAAGTCCTGCATACATTTTTCGTCTACCCAGACCTTGGAAGTATGCAAATACTTTTCTTTCAAACATGCTTCCTTTTTGAGAAATCATATGTTTTGGAATTTTTGTACAGATAAGTAAATTGTTTCTTTTGTGTGTTTAACATTAAACACAATTTGTGAAATTAAATTTAGTTATTGACATTACTTTTTGCTGGCTAACTCAGCACTTTTGTGATTGGAAGCAGCTAAGATGTCATTTGCATAGACTAGCTGTTAGATGTGTGGTGATGGGCTATCAGATTATATATATGATCTTCAAGGTTAATGCTATATTGGCTTTTTATTTGGAGATGTCGTGTTTTCCCGTACAAAAAGTCAGAACATGCCGTAAAATATAAAATAATATTTAAGGTAACTGATTAAGAAGTGGCTAAAAATGCATCTCCCTTCAAGCTCAAAATTTTTTGCTTTATTTTTATAACATTAAAACAGCACTGCGATCGAAATTTTTTTCCTTTCAAACAAAAAAAAAATTAAAAAAAGTGATTGGTAGTACCACCGAAATATTTCAATATTCTTAT